TGATCACAGTAACATCCATTGTTTTTTTGTCTCTATAAGTAATCAACAACAAATGTTACGGTGGAGCTAAGGCTGACTTGTGGTCTTGTGGTGTGATTCTCTTCGTAATGGCTGGTCACTTACCTTTTGAAGATTCTAACCTCACGTCACTATATAAAAAGGTGTTATGCCTTATTCTTCTTCTTTTGTTTCTCACTGCACATTCATTTTGCATACTATTTGAAAAGAGTTCCAATTTTGCAATTAACATGTGTCATTTGGGTGCCTTTGTCAATTGTTTTTAGGACACGGAATGTTTATAGCATAACAGGCCACCTGAGACTTTATTTTTTCATGCTAAACATATATTTAAAGCTGAGTTTACCTTCCCTCTTTGGTTCTCAGCAAGTGCTAAGAAGTTAATTAAAAAGGTTCTTGATCCTAAACCAGCAACGGTATCTTTTTCTTAACCGTTTCCTTTGTCTTATGACATGATAAGAGGCAAGAGCTTCTACTGGAATGAGTAGATCTGTAGTTTGATGCACTGTTTTGTTTTTAATGTTTGAACAGAGGATAACATTTGCTGAAGTCATTGAAAATGAGTGGTTTAAGAAAGGGTATAAGGCACCTAAATATGAGAATGCTGATGTTAGCCTTGATGACGTTGATGCAATCTTAGATGAATCAGGGGTAAAGCTCATGCTTTTTTATTTATTTGGTTTATAGCATTTTCTTGAAGAAGGTTGGTGGTTGGATGATTGCTTAGTTTTGTTTCTGTTTGTTAGTTTGTTTGTTTGTTTATAGGAGTCTAAGTCCAGTATTGGGAAAGCAATTTCTGAGGTTAAAACGTTGAAGATCATTGTCGGATCATTGCAGTCTGAACTTGAAAGAGAGAAGAAATATCTCTTAAACCCAACATAGAGAACTTATATCAGTTCAAATAACAGAGAAGAAGCAAAAGAGGAGAGATGCATATAAATAGCCAAGAAGATGCAAGAAATTAACAAAGAAGAACATGAGGCAAAGTCACTTGCTTTAGCTAAGCTGCCCGTGAGGAGCTTAAAAAGGCATAGGAAGAGTCAGCTGGGACGTAGACATAACTCTCTGCAATAGAAAGTCAGTTGATATGAGGCAGAAAGGGAACTGAGAGCCGTCATGGAATTCATGGACCATAGTCACCTATTGGTCATTGAAGCCTTTGGGATATTTTGATTAAAAAAAAAAAAGTGTTTGGGATATGAGGAGACTTGAAACAGTTGGGATTTTTTTAGGATAATGCAATCAAAGAGAATAAAACAAAGCTTCATTCACTACTCTGTCATTTTATAAGGATTTATGACATATAAAGTGTACAGAATTGTACAAAATGTTTACAAAGTATTTGTATTACTATAGTCCACCACCATAACTCCATAACATTTGGTAATATGCACAATAGCAGAGGATTTTATTAAACATTATAGGCGAACAAGAAATCCTACACATATCAGCCATATAATATTCTCTACAATTTCGATGATATTATTAAACATTATAGGCGAACAAGAAATCCTACACATATCAGCCATAAAATATTCTCTACAATTTAGATGATAGAAATTCTATAAATTAATTTCAATAGATTAATAAAAATTATAAATTAATAAATTATTATGTTTTCAAAATCGAACTAATTCAAAATATGGCATAAATCAATATAATAATAACAGTTTAAAAAAAAACATAGTTCCATTAAAATTATAAATTTATAATCTATATATATAACTTTATATATGTACTATATATAACTTTATATATGTACAAACAAACTATTATATTGTTATTTTATATTCAGTATTGAATTATTTTTAGATTTCTTAACATTTAATCTATTTTGATGAGATTTGATAAAATATATAGACATATTATATATACATCTATATATCAAATAACATAATAAAACTAATATAAATGTACAATTTAAAAAGGTTAATTATTTTTTTATTTTTAAAAATAAATATATATCTTAGAACAGAAAAATTAAAATAAGAAAAGTGTTGGTAAATAAATAACTCTATTGATTAACTTTTGGTACAACCGTATATTTTCAACTTAATGAAAATAGCTACTAAACAAACGAAGGTTCATAACCAAATTATAAAAATACCAAACAATGTTGTTGATACAAACGAAGCCAAACAAACGAAAGATCAACCTCCCTTTAAGTTTGGCTTCAGGCACATAAGTCACACATACACAGCTAGCCTTTGCAGTCTTAGTAGCGATTGCGGTTTGCATTTTGTGCTCGATTTTTAGAGTCTATAAATCAGTTGTAGCGTGAGACTTGGTAGTTTTTTAAATATTTTGAGTTACTTTTATTTATTGGATATGACATTTTATGAATTTCAATCTTAATAGTGTTTTGAGATTTTATTACTTCATTTTAGAATTTCATTAGATATTTTCTTTCAAAATTCATGGGCGTTACAGTACTCTCCTCTCCTTTTACTATTCTTTGGTACATTCCATTACATTTACGTTAAAAGTTGTATTGGTTCGCAGTGTCTTATGGATCCCATTACACCTTGGACTTGAAAAAATCAACAAATGCACGAAATAAGGAAGAAAACATAAGTTGTGTCACTGCACAAGTCGTGTTTATCTCCATCGTTTGGATTTGACATTAGGTTTAGAGAGAAAGAATGTAGTTTCATAAATTATTAATGTTTTTTTTTCCTTTTTTTGTTCTTTTCCTTTCTTTAATTGCATTAGTATCTCAGTTACGTCAATTTCTTAAATAAAAAATTAGGTTTTCAAATTAATGTACATATAAATGTACGTTTAAAACTTTTCAAAATATCATAACAAATAATTTTTTCTTTCCGGAATTGACCAAAAGCAATGTTCAGTGTTTCATTTGCGGCGTCCTATTTCCTTTCTTTTCGTATTGTCTAAATTTATTTCTTCAAATTATTATCATTTAATAAACTAAATATTGCACCATGAAACGAATTAAAATGGTCTCAATTCTAAAACTGTTATTCAACAATCTACTTCAACAAAGTTCTTAAACCTATAATAATACTTTGAATAGCATTATCAAACAATTGTTGTTCCGAAGCATTTACTGATGATGGATTTTAATGATTTTAAACTACGCTGAAAGTCATATACACAAGTAATATTATTAAATTTACAAAATATAATAGAAATAGGGAAAATTGGAAATTTAGGACACTTTGAACTTAGATTTGTCCCTCTAGGACTTTTATAAATATGTTTGGGAAAATAAGATTTTAATTCTTGTAAATACTATTATACCCTTAAAATTGATCAAATTTAATTGTTCTTAAAATATTCAATTATTATTTTTTGTATTAAATTTAATACTTTTATAATTATTATATAAAAAAGGGAAAAAAACCTAAACCACTTTCACCTCTTTCTCCTCCGCCGTCGACCTTCTTCCCTCTCCCATAGCGATTTTTCGGTCTTCTCCATCCATCCTTCTCCTTCTCTTCTAAATCAAGTCATCTTCATCTACCCATCTTTTCTCTACCGAAATCCATCTCTTCTATCCATCTCTTCTCCACCGAAATCCAACTCTTCTTCCTCACCACCGATTTCCGTCGGGCCAATTCCAAATTAAAAGGTTCTTCCAGCAATTTCGTTAATAACTCACAGTTCTTAACACTAGATATTGTGTTTAACCATGAATTATCTTATGCTTCAACTTTTCCCTTATCTTAAACCGTGATTTTTTTTTTCAAATCGATTGGTCATGATATATGATACTAGTTGTTGTCCGGTTGTTGTCTGATTGTGTATGTTTGCATGTAGATTAGTTGTTACTAGTTGTTGTCCGAGTGTGAATGTTTCCATATAACAAATCGATTGGTCATGAAATTTGGGTCTTGAAATCTGATAGTAGTTGTTGTCCGATTGTGTATGTTTGCAAGTAGATTAGTTGTTCTCCGACTGTAATGTAGTTCAATTATGTTTGAAATCAATGAGTTCTTGTTTGATCTTGCAACTAACTATTTTTTCATGGCTAGTAGGTATGGCCGAGGAGTTACCAAAGAGACTTTTTAAAGAGGGCGAGGAGACCCAAGTGACTCAGATAAATAACAACTGCAGGATCGACTACATTCTGAAAAAGTTTGAAGCGTGGTTGCCAAGGGAGTTGGATGTTCTGAAGAAAGATCCGACTTTTTATCAGATTTTCAAGCTACAAGAGAATGGTCTTGGATACTCTGCGAGAGTGATTCACAGCATGTTGTGTAGGGAGCTTGTGACTTACAAACATCACGAGCTTTGGTTTGCCTTTGCGAGGAGACCACTTCGATTTTCACTTCAAGAGTTCCACGCAGTAACCGGGTTTGAGTGCAATACTGGTATCCCACTTGAGGAGTTTGACGAATGGGAAGATGATGACAGTTCTGGAGCAGGGTGTTGAAGAGAAAAGATGGGAAACATACACTATTCAAGATGTGGAATAACCACAAGTCAGCAGTTATGAAGTGGAAAAATGCAGATCGCATTCGACTGATCTACATGTCCTTCATTCTTTGTGTGGTTTTAGCGAGAGATGAGAAAGCTAATATCCCCCTCAAATGGGTAAAGGTGGTCATGTATCTTGAGAAGGTTCGAAAGTATCCTTGGGGAGTTTCTGCTTATGATCTTCTCTACGAATCAATAGCTAAGAATCGTGACAAGCTGAAGGATAAAACTACTAGTTATGTGTTAGATGGTTTCTCCTACGCCTTGCAGATTTGGGCAATGGAAGCTGTACCAAAGCTTGGGAAGCTTTGTGGAAAGAAACTGAACAAAGATTTTAAGGACGGTCCTATGTGCATAAACTGGAGGGGTGCTGCAAAGGTGTCATATGAGGAGATCAACCGCTTGGAGAACATATTTACTGCTGAAGTAATTTTCGATTTTTAAGATTAATAATCCGATTTAAAACTATTTTTGAGGTTCTAACTTTTTTTACCTTTCTTGTGTAGGATGTCACCTATCCATACATCTCATGGAGAGGGAATATGGTTGTAGTCGCGAGTTGTTTTCACAGAGAAGATGTGAATGATGATAGAGTCAAGGAGCTGATGGAGTTGATAAGGACTAAGCATGACTTCAGTGACCATGTTTGGGCTTTCGAAGAAACTGCAGAGGTTTCTCTGGATCTGGATGATGAAGCAGCTGTGAATGCTGGAGCAGAAGAGAGTGATGAAGACTTTCACACTCCAAATGGATCAACTAGTGTAGGCGTTTCATCAAAAAAGAGTAAGAAGAGGCTCCCAGATCGTGGTATGGAAAAAAGGAAACATAAGGTTCTCTCTACTGAACCTAAGCAACCGGTTCTTAGTGATGACATGAAGGCTTGGGTGAAAGAGTTATTTGATCAGAATTTTCAATGCAATGGAACTTAGGCTCCAGAAACAGATGGATGAGAAATTTCAGACACTGCAGTCCGAGCTGAAAGGATCGCGCAAGGATGCTAGAGTTGAGCTCAAAGATTCTGGGAACGATGGACAGCCTACACCGACGAAGCCATCGATGAGCCAGCCAGAGTTGAGGAGGTCCACTCGCGGGGTAAATAAACAATAGTCTTCTATGTTTGTGTGTCTCTTTGTGTTATTGTCATCTATGATATCGGCCTGCCTTTTGTTGTGTTTTATAAGGTCTTTGTGTGTACTTGTCATTGGTTTGTATATATCTTGTTTTAAACTTATGTATGGTTGTGAACTTTGCTAAGATATTTCAGTAATGACTAGACATCTTGCAGTGTGAAATTTTGATTGTATTTTCACAAATTTTCTTGTGCTTAATATTATGCTTTTAATTGATCATTTTGTTTCCCATTACAAGAAGCGTCTTATAGTCCAGCCGATGGGAATTTCAGTGAAGCAGATGATATCTTCCGAGAGATGGGTACGCAAGGCGTTGAAAGGCTGTCTCAGCCCTCGTATGTGCAGCGTTTTGATCCATCTCAGACCTCTAAGGAAGATGACTGGTGGACTCCGATGACTTCAGTCAGAGGTTCAAAAGCTAAACGAAGCAAAGGTAGTACAGCTCCACCTCCGTCACAATGGAAGAAATGGAAAGGCAAAGGCAGTACACCCCAGCTTCTCGATAACCCATTGCCCGACAGTTCTCCGCAGTCGTCACTTTGTTATTTGTCCGAAGAATCATGGACAGGATTCATGGAATGGTGTATGAACCCAATAGCTGTAAAGATTGGTCCTTCATTCTTCAATTTGGCTGTAGCTACAAGGATAATATGTTCTCCAGAATGGCTTGGGAATGAGGTAATGATTTCTTATACTAGTGTATTTGTGGTGAATATACCTTTGTAACACATCTTTGATGCTTCAATGGTGTATGTCCTCGTGAATATTCAGGAAATGGATTCGATTATGTTTATATGGCGAGTGAACACATCTTTCAAGCGTTGGACCCCAACCCGTGTTGCTTTCATGCCCTCCATCTTCTGCCTCCAAATGGACACTGAATTCAACAAGTTTGTCCTGAACAAAAAAAAGCTTATGAATTGCATGAGTTTCTTATTTCTTACGGCAGAGGAAAGCTTCCAGCTCATGGGCGGACTGATCAAGTCTGGGGTGTCGATATTGATCGTCTCTATTTTCCTCAGTTTGTAAATGGTAGTCGCCGGTTCCGAATCATGTCTCAAAATTTGTTTCTTCACTTACCAATTTAGTATAAATCCAACGCAGGTAATCACTGGATTGCTGTCTGCATCAACATCATTGAGAGAAAAGTGGAAAACTTTGATTGCAATAGAGTAAGGAATAGACAATACGTTGAGAAGTTTGCGGCTTTGATTCCGCGGATAGTGAAGGCCGTTGCACCACCTGAAAGCAAGAAGCAGCTACTCGTATCACCATATTCTATAGTAGATGTACCGATGAAGGCGAGGTTGAACAAAAGTTATGCTGATTGCGGAGCATACGCACTCAAACACTTGCAAGGCCATCTCCTTGGTCTCGACCTCGGCATAGTAGATGACGAAATCATCCAGGGCTGCAGACAGAAGATTGCTGTGGACTTATGGGAAGCTTCACACGATCCCATCTTAGCTCAGGTTATGACTCAATATGTGCCTTCACCATGGGATAAGCCTGGTGTCTTTGACCTGTCAGAAGATGACTGATTATGAAACAAATGACAACTTCAGTTTATGTAACAAAACTCTAGCTTTGGTTATTTATGAAACAAATGACAACTTCAGTTTTATGTTTTTTTTTTTTTTAATTTATGTGACAATTCAAAACATACTCGTACACGAAGAACACATTATGTATCAAGGTGAATCATGAATCAACACACTCGAGGATCAAAACTGATTCAAAGCAGGCCTGGGCATTTTAACCTGGACCCGAGGACCCGGCCCGGAACCGACCCAAAATCGCAGGTTTGAGAAAAGAATCTGCTCTATACGACGGGATCGATCGATCCCAGAAAGAGTCGGTCGATCCCATGGTCGATCTCGATGATTAAACAAAAACATAAAAAAGCACGGAGCAGAAACTGATCGACCTTGTCAAGTTCAGTCGATCTTCACCGATCGATTTATCATAGATTGATCGATCCCAGAAAGAGCCGGTCGATCCCAATGGTCGATCTCGATGATTAAACAAAAACATAAAAAAGCACGGAGCAGAAACTGATCGACCTTGTCAAGTTCAGACGATCTTCACCGATTGATCTATCATAGATCGATCGATCTCTATTTTAGATTGATCGATCCCGATCCCAGATAATTCTTCCAATTCAATTTCATGGTTTCTCTATTTTTTATTACTTTTCTAATGAAAAAAAATGAATTTTTTTAAAGAGAAATATAGTCATTAACATGAATCAATTTTGTTGCAAGAGAAATTAAACAGAAGATCGATTTGTTTCAAGGGAAAAAAGAAGAACAAAAATCTGAGAGACAGAAGAACACAAATAACAAACACTAAATGGGTACATCGCATGTTCCTCTCTTGTGTCCTCTGGTACCACAACGGCTGCACTTGTGCTTTTTATTCTTCTTTGATCCTTGAGAAGATTTTATCTTGTCTTCTACTGATTCATACCCTCTCTTTACTGGTCGACCAACACTCTTTCTTGTATCTGGTGGTAATACCTTTGCAAGGTTAACCTCAGCTGGGACTTTCCACTCGGACTGTGGAACTGCTATAGGATTAATGTTTTCCGCATAGGCAGTTCTCCATGTTGCAGTGGTATATACATCATCAGTAAATCTGTGAACTTCCATACGTCGTGAATAAATTGCAGGAATGGCATGTCGGCAAGGTATTTTTCCTATATCAAACTTCCGGCATGTGCATGTTTTCCTTTCCAAATCAACATGACAATCATAAGTGTCACCTTTCACAAGCGATCTGAAGTTGTCTATGTTGTAAACCTGAAATCCTTTTGCCTTCACAATTCTCCTATCAATCTTTTTCTCCACCTTAACTGTTAAAGGATCGAGTTGCTTCGAGCTTAACAGGCGACGCTCATAGAACCATCGAGTCAATAGTTCTCTTAAACTATCTAGCAAAGGAATAACCGGATATTCTCTAGGTGTTCTCAGAACTGAATTAATCGACTCTGCAGCGTTTGTGGTCCTAATGTCATACCTGGATCCAGGGAAGAGAGAACGAGCCAATTTTCGCACATCAGCCTCACGTAGATATCTTCCAAGGTCAGGACTCATATCAAAATTTTTGGTAATGCGTTCCTGGAATTCAGTGCACCTATATGCCCGTGAAGCATTTTCGACCAAGGCAGAAAACCCTTTTGGCTTGAAGAATGAAACCACATTGTTCAACAAATGGTGAATGCAAATTCCATGTGATGACTGAGGGTAGACAGTCCCAATCGCTTTTCTGATTGACGAATTCCTATCAGAGATAAAGGCTAAGTCTTGACAATCAGCAATAACCACTTTCAACTGTCTGAAGAACCACCCCCATGAATCGTCATTCTCTGAATCAACCACTCCAAAAGCAATCGGATACAAATTAGAGTTACCATCAACAGCAGTAGCAACAAGTAGAACTCCTTTGTATTTATTTTTTAGAAAAGTTCCATCAACAACAATCACCCTTCGCATTGTATTGTAGAATCCTCTAAATGATTGCCCAAATGACATAAATAGATACTTGAATCTCCCATTCTCCTTAGTCTCATAGTGAGTATGTGTATCAGGATTAGCTTATTTGATCATATGCAAATATTTTGGTATTTTAGCATAACTATGATCTGGTATACCTCTAGCAGCTGCAGTCGCAAACTCACGACTTTCCCAAGCGTGTCCATAAGTAATCTCGCAGCTATACTCTAGTCTCATAAATTGAATGATCTCATTCGCTTTTGGGCCATCGATGGCATCATCAAACCGATGTTGTATCAGAGTCCCAATTGTTCTTGCCGATGCTGTTTTTCCAAATTTGCTTTTCTTCGAAGGAGCACATCAATGTCTTCCCTCGAACTTGTTGATCATAAAATAGGTAGACCCATCCATACATTCTGCACGCACCGACCAGTTGCACAATGTATCCTTACATCGAATTTACCACCATTTCCTTGTCGATTTGAGTATTGTGTAATCAAAATTATTCTTCATCGTAAAAATTTCGAATGTTGCCTTCAAAACCGCTTTACTTCTGAAAATTTGATCCCTTGTCACGAAATCTCCTCTCCAAGATCGAGCATCCTTTTCACTATCTCCATCTGCAGGGACAAGATTCTTCGTTGTATCAAAAGACTCTTTTGATGGGTTGACAAAGGCTGCTCGATTTATTTCTGGAATTTCCTCTTCATTAACATTACTTGAATCACACGGCTTCTCATTCAAGTTGATATTGACTCGTTCCTTTTGATTTACACCAGTACCAGAGAACGTCACACACAAGGTTGTAGATGAACCCTTTTTCGCATAGCCCACAAAATTAGATACTTGTCGATCATTGCTAATAATAATGGGAGGATTCCCTCTTTGATTTACCATCTCATAACTGAACTTTACGTTAACCGCATTATGTTCCACCCCGTAATCCTCACACACCGTCATCTTGAGCTCCTCCAACAGAGTACTAGTTTCCAATGTTACCATTTGACCAGGCCTTTTTTTTGTCTGCCACGAAACTCCACTCGTCATTGCAACTAGACATCCATTCACCTGATTTAACATGGATTAGAACCATCTTGTATTGATAAGAAGAAAATATGAAGCTTTTTGATGAAGAATGTAGAACACACAGAGAAAACAGAGAAAAATATCGTGAGGAAGAGAGAAAATCGTGGACAAAATATTCTCAAAGATATTTAGGAAACATCTCAACCGAATATGGAAGTTTCCATATTTTGCGGATTACCTAGAATATGTTTACTATCTAAGGCAGAACACAGTAGAAAAGGTGGGAAACACATTCTTTCTCAAGTGTCACATAAGGTGACATGCAGAATTGGTTATTGCACAAAATCTGGATGAGGTATGTCAATAAGTTATGGTTATAAATCGTTTCTAGCTTTACCTACACCAAAGTCATATGCCTTGATTATAACGCTACCAATACTACCTTGGTTAGAATAGACGCGAAATGTTATATTACATTTCATACCTCGGGTCTATTTAGCAAGAACACCCAGTATATGATTTCTAAACTGAGTAGATAACAAGAATGAGTATTCTATCTGTACCTAGAAGATAAAATAAAATATGATTCCACTTTTAAAAAATAAAAACTTAAACATATATGTTGTCATACTTATGTTTTCTAGCCTTCTCATATTTTTTTATATTTTTCCAAATTAGTTTAATATTGTTTTCATTAATAAAGGGTAAGACATGTCCAAAATTGTCAAAAGTATGAGAAGTCCTATATGGACAAATAAAAGTTCAAAGTATCCCATTTTTCCAATTCTCCCATAGAAATATCCTAAAATATGTTACTCAGTTTGTACTGATGAGTACTATTATTTTCCGTCTCTCATAATAAAATTACGATAAACAAAATTCCATGTAAAAGTAGAAAAAAATTTAAAATTAAATTTCCCGTTTTATATTAAGAAACTAAGCACAGAAAAATGAAAATATTAACTTAAACTGGACAAGTAAACACAAATCTCCCCAGTTTAATGCAATAATTTACATATGACAATATGATTAAATTAAAAATGTAGTTTACCATGAAATATGTGAAATTATTACTCACTTCAGTATTTGAAATAAAAATTTACTATAACACCTTTATTGATGTTATTTGCAGCTTAAAAAAAACAAAATAATACAAATCAAACTATTTTGAATCTTTGTAAAAATCACACATGAGTATAAAAGACTAAAATTAAATTGATGAACGTGGATCTTTCTCTGTTGCTTATCCCTATCATGGCCTCCTTGCAGCTTTGTTGAAATCAGTTGGAATTTGGAAAGGTTTGGGTGTCCATTTTTCTCAGCATTCACACTGTCTTCTCTAGATTGGTTCCTTACAGCTTCTTGAAACACTCTTTCTTCTTTGCAGCCAGAGAATTTGCTTTTGGAAGCGGGGCTCTGAAAGTATCTGATTTTGGATTGAGTGCACTGCCTCGGCAAGTCCGAGTAGGGTTTGTTGATCTATTGATTATTTCTTAATTTGATTACTTCCATATTTCTCCTAAGGGGAATTACGATAAACAAAATTCCATGTAAAAGTAGAAAAAAAATTAAAAATTAAATTTCCCGTTTTATATTAATAAACTAAGCACAAAACAATTAAAATATTAAGTTAAACTGGACAAGTAAACACAAATCTCCCCAATTTAATGAATAATTTACATATGAAAATATGATTAAATTTAAAATGCAGTATACCATGAAATATGTGAAATTATTACTCACTTCAGTATTCGAAACAAAAAATTACTATAACACCTTTATTTGATGTTCTTTGCAGCTTAAGAAGAACAAAATAATACAAATCAAACCATTTTGAAGCTTTGTAAAAATCACACATGAGCATAAAAGACTAAAATTAAATTGAAAACCCCAACAATAAAAATAAAATCCAACTATCATAATCTACTTTAATGTTATAGATATTTTCCTGTTTATTAGTTCTAAATTATGTAACACTATAAAAACAAACATCAATAAAATTATTGAAGAAAATTTACGAA